CGAAAAGTAAACGCTGAACAAAAAGTGGCCGAGAACTGGGCCCGGCCGACAACTGGGCCCCACACTGTATATATCATACAACAGTAAAGAGATTCATGAGGCAACGACTGTAGTAATATCGTTCAGGCCCCAGTTGCTCAAAAGGTAGGTAACGCTATCCACTGGATAAATCACTATCCAGCGGATAGCGTGGTTTGTTTTGTCAACACTTATCCATTGGATAGTGATTTATTCACGGGATAGCGTTATCCACCTTTCGAACAACTGGCCTGGGGCCCGAGCTTTAAAACTCAGAGAAAACTGTCAAATTTCTTACCTGATTGAGAATATTATACACCTCTGTGCACTCAGATAGAATAGTCCCTGTTGACGACATCTGTTTTCCGGGGNTGAGAATATTATACACCTCTGTGCACTCAGATAGAATAGTCCCTGTTGACGACATCTGTTTTCTACCGAAGTGCTAGTGAACAAATTAGTTTCAAGTTTGCACTTCAAAACAGTAACTGTTAAAAGAAGTCGACTTTCACCACCGCCATGTTTGTTTTCGTTCTCGTGCGTCTCGTTGCTATTGGTCGCCAGTCAATCGGTTGCGGTTCCTATGCGTCAACCAGGGGAGGGGTAGGGAGTGGGTTCGGGACTGGTTCCTCTACGGTTCATTTTGGACTGGAAACCGAACAGAACCAATTTCACTCGAACCGGATCATAATAAGGCTCTTAAATTTTTGCGCAATTTTCTTAAGGACCATGCATACATGCCCCCAGTTGCCCCTTGAAAGGAAACCTCTGGCTCCGGATAAGAATTTACTTTGGAGGGAAGAGTGAGGGACGCGGGTGAAATTGCACCTGTGAACTGTTTCCTGTGTTTCAGCCAAGAGTTGATTGGGAAACTACAATTAGTTCAGTAGAGGAAGTTTTGAACAAGATAGCAAATTTAAAAAGAATCATATTTCTTAGATAACATTCTCTCTCGCTCCCACTAACTGCTCCTGGGTCTCGACGA